ATGTTTGCTTTAAGTCGGGCATTATTAGACATCATTAAACTGAATGGGTGATATAAAATATATCATTCTACTCTCTACTGTCACATTAAACCACTTTACATTTTCTTAAAGATGTTGAATTAGTTTTAATATGAATAAAAACCACACGATTTACACGTTTTAAATGCTAACAAAAAACGCAGTCGTCAAAAACACCGCGGGAAAATAAATAAAATAAGGGTACAATTTATCAAATATCAACTAAGAATAGTGTTTATACATTGAACTGATCATTTTGGGGAGTCTTTCCTTTGAGAAATTCGTCTCATGTGTTTTACGTCGTAGTCACCATGGAGATGTGTTTTGTACTCCACTACGGGAGTTTGGAGCTTAAAGTCAGTCTCCATGTTGGTAAACATACAAGTCACACGACAATGTTTGCTCAACTTGTTCAAAATTGAATCCTTGTACAAATAAAAATCAAAATTGGTATGACTTCAACAAGAATTTAGTGGGGAAAGTTTAAAGACATGACAACTCACTGATGTTTTTCAATTTTTCTATTTGTTAAAGCTTAACACTTGCATTTTCTGTATACAATATTAATTATATTATGTATTATAGTTTTCAAAAACCGAGTGTGTATAATCACGTAGAAGGAGTACAAAACTATTTTCTATTCTTAATGTGTGCAAAATATGCTATTAATTATTGCCAAGAACCTGCATATAACGTCCAATAATAGAAATAGTCTCAATGTATTACTGACGCTATACCTAAACTTACGCAACTTTCACCCCCAACTGTTGATAATTATAGGAGAGACAAATTTCCACTCGGTTTTATTCGAGAAATTACACTGCATTAGTTCCCCATGAGATTTAACATCATTTTATTGAATATAATATTATGTTATGCAACTTTACTGCAACCCGTTTTTAATGAAGTGACCCATAATAAAGTATTACGTTCATACTAGTATCACTCAAAATGAAAAAAGACGAACCATGTCACGTCGTTTCATAATTTGAGGTGTTCAGCTTTACCTGTTTCATCAAGACCCTGGGAAAATTAAAGGTGGCGCTCATCATATTGAGCTCCCTCACAATGACCTCCCATTATGTTATACTACTGTTCCTTAAAACAAATGAAAAAATTGCCTATATAAGGTCAGAGTTCCAACGAATAAGTAGTTTGTCGATGTTAGTACCATTAAGTGCAAATGGTAATTTCAAAATATCATTGCAATGAGTACGTTGTGAATTGTTTGTAGGTTGCCATAAAGTGCTAACAGGAGAGGCATGTTAACATGCAAATAATTTTCAAAATTGGTCAAATTATGCATCGAACGGGGAGTCATCTGAGATAAGGCCATGATACTGTGCTTAAGATAATACATACTATTGGTCAGATTTGATCACATGATATGCCCCTGTACTCTGGGATCGAGTCGTGTCTTTTCGTTAAGTGATTCCCAATAATAATTGTCGTTTGCCTATTTTGCGCAAATCGAGAATTATACATTTGATTTCTAACTGGAATCACAGCGTGAGAATATAACTGTAAATTCATAGTAAAGGAAAGAGAAAGCTTGTCACCACAGGAACTGTATATTTACGTGTACTTTTGCTTCCATTTTGTTAAAACCTACGGCGAAGTGATGTTCTACCAGCACACTTTACGGTAATTTTTCGCCCCGTGATATCTCATAGCCTTTTCAGAATGTCGTCTGCGAACATTTCATTTTGGCGGGAATGACACGAAATACTGTTGTCAGTAGAAAATTATCAGTTATTGATACCTTATCATGTGGCGACAACAAAATAGAAGTGAACAAGAGTAATTTTGCTTGTAATGACATATTTATAAAATATGATATTTTTATTAATTATCAGATTTAATGGAAGAAGATAATTACTATAATTTCGTGAAAGTTGATTTTGAGATTTGGTATCGACTGTGCTTAACATGATCATGAAGAGGAATAAAGATGTAACTTTACCTCACACAAACGTGTGGTAACCGATCATATAGTCAATGTGACACGAGGTTCAGTTGTTGGCATCCTGATATTACAGCAACCCCACAGCATCCCCCCCTCCCCTCTTTACTTCAAAGTCTCATTCTGCTAGCTCATAAGTGTCGATATGTTAATTCATTTACCATGGCAATTTTTTATATTTTAATTGATAATTAGAAATGAATGGAAAATGCATAGAAAAACTATGTTAAGTCTACATCCAATTGAAAGTCTAAGTGAGAAAACACAAAGACATTGAAGTCAGAAAAAAATCAGAATAAAATTTGGCTTAATAAATGATTATGTTTCTTGTGTTTGAGCTAAAATTAAATATGTTATCGCCCCAACACACCATGGAATCATTTACCTTTAACTATAAGTTGTAATATCACATTATATTTGTGTTCGTAAAATCCCAAGATACCATTAGTTTTGTGTAAAACAGTAGATGCGCTATTGATATCATTATTTTCATTTAGAAACGCTATGTTTCGCAGCTAAAAGCATCTGAAAGCATTAAACAATTAATTTCTCCCATCGCGTCAGTAAACCAAACCTCTGCCCACTGTGAGGCTACCGTCTGAGATGATATTTTGACATTTCCAACTTTTTTCAATCCACCCTTGCACATAAGTTTTACTCTTCAATTAAATACATTCCCAAAACGAAACAACACAAGGAAGAAATAGAAGTGTATTTTTAAAATTAAAATAAAAAATGTCAAACAATATAAAAAATCGAAATATTTAGAGTTTTTAGTCACACTTAAATTTCAATATTCAAATTTGAGTTGAATTTTAGTTGCGAGAATTGGGTTCCGCCATATTGCCGAAAAGCAGATCGCGTTTGTTTACATCATCTGATATAGAGGTGGTGCATGTAAAGTGGATTTTACAGATATATCCTCTCTGAAGAATGAAAATATTTGGCTTAAAAATGTCTGCAGTGATTTTCCAGTCAGAGGAAAGAAGTCAGAGGGTGTAAAGACCCGTTGTTATGGTAATTCGATCTTGTTATATTTTCCTAATTTTCTCTCCATTACTTTGGAGCTGTCAATCACTCACAGAGGACTTAAACAAACTACATATGTTCTGCTTCCCCTGGGACTTACCTCTCGGCGACTTCCAGCGTTTGAGAATATGGTTTTCAAGACAGGAAATGGGGTTTCCTAGGAGTGCATTGCCATTGAATTTCAACAAAAACAATTTAGTACTGACATTGGGAGATTTTTACTCTATCAATACATCTGGAAGGACTATGTGTCCTTTGTGATTAGATTCCTTTCTCTGTTCCAACACAAAGGCCGAAATATAAATGCCTTTAAGAACCTATAAATATGTAGACCCTATATGTGAAATAAACGATAGTATACATCGGTGTTATATACATTCGTGTTCCCCTGGCAAGTATTGTCTATTAGCATATGGCAAGATGGTCAGCCATTGCCTTCTATATGTAATTGAGCCCAATAACTAGCAAGAGTTCTTGAAACCGATCTAATGTCCGGAGTATTGTATCTATAAGTTGACTGATGTTTCATCGGGGATCTGGTGATGTTTGGGCAATAGTCTCACGCAGAACGTCTTACTCTAGCAGACCTGCATTACGTTGTATTTTTACTTTCTTCATTGAAGCGTGTAATTTTTCTTATATTTCTATATCAATTACGGTGTTCACTATATTCAGTTATGCTTCAATTATCAAAATGTTCGCTTAATGTTGTTTTAATTGACGAGAAAATACATAATGCTTGAGATATTTTTTCTCAGGCTTTCTCCGGGAGCTTGGATGTTTGGGCAACTCTAGTAATGAATGCAGAAGCTTTACCATAACAAACATATTTTATGTCAGTTTGTTTTGTGCAGGTGTACACCCGCTATATCAGCTTCTCAAACTGGCATTACGGTCCAGTCTGCGATGGGAAATCCGGTTGAGGGGTCTGCACCGTTCGATGGTACACAGTAAATGTATAAGGCTTAATAAAAAAAACTGGAAGAACAAAGACAAAAAACGAATAATTAAAAAATATCAATCCCTAAAACCAGTCCCTAAAATAATCATATGATATTGAAAGAATGGAAGTGACAAAATTCCACGAACAAGACTTAATGTCGTCTGGTTAACAGGCAAGTGCAATCTGCGGAGAGCCTGTGCACAGAGCTAAATGATGCTTTGCACATGTTGTAGAATACAGGTATGTGTAATTAACAAAACAAATGATCACAAAAGTGTAACAATTTGTTACAGACGTTGAACGCTGGTAACAAAAAGGTGGATGCCACAATTTTCTAAATAATATAAAAGGTACACTCCCGTCTAGATATATCTAAAGGAGCGGGGAAGTCTTCATTGAGTCGAAGTATGACATGTTGTGTTGGAACGCCACCATCATGAAAGGTGCCTAACTTCTTCCCACAGACAATCCAGCTCTCTAGTTAGAATACAATAAAACAATTGGAACATTCATTCAAGTGAGGCTTAAAAGCTCTATTAGTTAAATGGGTGTCTCCAATACGCATTATGAGAACTCAATACAAAACTTTTTCAATGAATGGCATTTACATTCATTGTTAAAATCGGGTATTTTCATTGATTTAGCATTGGATTTTTCGCAAAGATGAAATATGAAGTGGGGTTAGACGGCATTATGTTCCTAAAGTCGATAATATTGGAAGTAGGGGACAGAGTATTTTAACCTGCACAGAATATCTTACATATAAATATTCTAAGACCATCGAAATGCATTGGTCAATGACATTTCACTTGTGTCATCGGTACATGTCAATAACTTTACAAATTCTAGTAAAGATTTGGTGGAAAATGTTTTGTTGAAGGAGGAATAATCAAGATAATGTCAGTTGTGTATAGTATCACTTGGCAGGGTGGGAGGAAGCAAAGTGTTCCAGAGCACATGTTCATTTATAATATACTCTTGTAAGTTTTTCTTATCGATCACTATGTATACAAAGAATTCTGAATAGAAGAACGCAAAACACAAGGATTAAATATATTATCGAATGATTCTATTTACAATGAAACAAAAGTCTATTTTACTCAACGATACAATATTTAACCACATAATGTTTTTATAACTTGCGGTTGTTTACAATATAACGGTACTATTTGCTTGATCTGTTTGTTGACCAACAATAATGTGTAACTTTACAGTAACTTTAAAAACGAACATATTGTAATTGATTTTGTAGAGTTTTGACTAATGTATTGCACATTTCAACTACATGGAAACAACATTCTTTGTAATCATAAGCTACATAAATAATCGGCACCGGTTACCCACCGTCTTTTACTATTTGTTATCTTATTTTATATAGGTCGTACTATATTATATGAATATAACGTGCAAATGTCATGGTTGGTTGGTATATGTTAGTATCAACGTGCAATATAATCATCTCAGAAACAGTGGTACCTATTCATGTTATTTACTATTCTTATAATCTCAGGGAGATTATTTGTTAAATTTTTATATATGTAGATATTTCATATAACTTTTCTCAATGGACACAAATGCATGAGAACATTTAAGAACTAAAATAATTTTGAACTAGGTATTACTTTAAACTGTATAGTGGAAATACAACATTATACAAGGATGTAACCTGCAGTCAACTCAGTGATTTGCAATCGCAAACTAAACTAAAAAAATATGTAAGCACCAAATTAATACTAAAATTGCAAATGTTTGTTGGGCAAATTAGACATTCCTTGGTTCGGGCACCTTGTAAGCTTATCTCTTATCATGCGTGACATAAAGGCAAGAATTAGCATAAAATAAATAAATCTGTCGTCTTATACATTACGTTAAAAACTATGTACATTTTAAAATAGATATGATCGTCCTATCTAAATGTAACAAACTCAAATTATGTATTTTTTACATAGAAGAGTATACTAGAAAATCTCTAGAGAACCTTGAGCAAGACTTTGACTCAGTCTTCTGCGTGTGACGTGAGCACAAAAATAATGACGTGAGCACACAATTTAACCACGTGTACACAATAATCTGGCGTACAACGTTGTCATGGCTAGCTATTCTTTTGAAACTGTACATGGCGATATTTTTAGTATAAGTATGAAGGCGGCACCTGGCTTAGCGTCAGTATTGCGCCACGGCTGCGTGCGGATGATGGCCATGGTGAACTGAGGGCACTTGTGATATGGGGTGAGAGATATGTGACACTGGATGAGATATGTGACTTATCGGATGTGAAATAGAATGGGAGACAGATTGTCCAAGTGAAGACTGTCCTAATGAAGAATGTCCTAGTGAAGAATGTCCGATTGTAGAATGGCCTATTGCTGAATTCCCTGCACTACTGATTGGAGAGTGTTCATTGCTAGGAGGGGTAGGCATTCCTGTTGTACTCTGGCACACATACCACTCACTAAGATTCGCCGTCTGACTGGCGTGAGACGTCGCCGCTGTAGTTTGAGCAGTGCCGACAGTTGACGTCGGGTGTGACGTAGGCGGTGACGCCATATTTGGGGACGTGACTTGAGAAGATATTAAAGCAGGGGGTGGACTACTCAAACCAGGGGTGGTATTGGAGCGTGATTGTTGCGAGACAACGATTGAACTGGTCGAGCTATTTGGAGATTGTAGAGACGGTGATGTACTTTCGGGTGACGTAGGACTTCCCGGGATTGTCGTGGACAATGTGGAAATGTCGTCAAGTCCATTTAATTCCATCTCGCTGATTTCTCCGCTCTTACAATGGACTTTCATGTGTTTCCTTAGTGAGCTTGGGTGCGTGTAACTTTTATCACAGCCCCTCACTTTGCAGTTGTATGGTTTGTCGGAGGTGTGTACATGCGAATGCTTCTTGCGATCAGAACTATTCGCGAATCTTCGGTCACATCCGTCGAATTCACACTTAAAGGGTTTCTCTCCTGGAAGCAGAAAATATAAAATACTTAGGAAAAATGTTCAAAACCTGTTTATTGTGGATATTAAAATTTAATAGTAAAAATTCAAGAAACATTCTGAAAAATAATTTTGAAATTTTCGAATAAGTTATTACAATTTTCTAAATAAAAGCACTTGAACCACTTGTTCGTTCAATATTTTTTTCTCGTGAATGTACTTTTTAAAAGGTTAAAAACTCTAGTGTAAATAAAATCCACTTGAAACTTCAAATTCACAAGTTCAATATAATGTGTATACCTTAATTTTTCAAAAGGCGTTTGACTCATAGAAAATAATCATAAAAAATAATAAAGCCCTATATCTTTACCAGTGTTTAAACCCATTAGGATATTCCCCCTGTAATTTTTTCAAGAATAAAAATTGCTTTCTAAAGATTCCTTTCAAAGGCAAATTACTAGTGTGTGAACGTTTAAAATTTTATTATATACAGAGTGTAAGCGTAGACATTAAAATAACCATAAAACACATGAAGCAGTTCAGAATGCAAATAAGAACAGTTTAATACGAAAATGATTTTCTAGAAAATCAGAGAATGAGCTAGTAGATATAGTTTCTGTAATTATAGTGATATACAAATCGGTGCAAAGTTATTGAAATTATAAATATGGGAGATAGGTAATGATACAAATATTACTACAAAATCAAAATATTTAGCATTAAAAATTAATGATCAAAACATATTGGGAACAAAAAATTAATAATGGCAGGTGTCTGAAGAGGTTGGTAGAAAAAGAATTTGATTAACTTGTTTTTTCCACCCATTTACTAATGATAAACTACAGTTACTTCATAACGACCGTCCCAATCTAATCAACCGGCAAATATGACACTTGAGAAAAACTGAAGTACAATTTTGAATTCAAATCAGTTAATTTGATAATTTGAAAGCATCAGCCAGCAACAAGTTTTTTGTATTTTTATCCAACCACGCTATTTTATTACAATTTCAAAGTTTTATGAAAACAAAAAAGAAACAATCTTCATATTTTATATTCAAAATTCAATTTAATACATTGTTCCCTATCCAGACTTTAAATGTTGGTAAAACAAAATTAAATTCGTAACACAATTGATTAAAATGCCATTTATTATGATCATTTCATTTTAGGAGTTAATTATATAATGTTAACATAATTTTCGAAATCATGGCAGAATTAATTGAGGAGATATGCTTCTGGAAATATAGGTATAATCTGCTATCAGGCCACACATTACACATTAGAACCAATCTGTTGGCAATTACTTGGATTAATGTGATTAACAACAGATATAAACACCAATGACATTCATAATTAATCGTGCATGTATTAATTAATTTGGAACAGATACTTTGCCTTTAATACAATGCTCAAATATACATCCCCTGTTTCAAGTGCCGGCTTTAGTTATAATGGGGTTCATATTTTCGTCAGATCAGATTGATTTCTTATTGAATATTTAATAAACGTTTAAATTTATCATACATGTGCCAGTCACAAAATATAAAATATATCCAAGAAGCTTCGTGTAAAAGTGTAAAATAGTTATCAATGTACAAGGTCTATTTAAAAGAAAAAAATCGATGTGCAAAATTTTGTTAGAATATGTATATTCAAATTTCCTTCGTTTTTCAACATGATGTTAATTTTTCGTAATCTGAAATGAGGAGCGATATGGTCAGGAGTTTTGTCCCAAAACGGATGGATATTTATTAAAATCCGTGGATAATCCAAGGCGTTTATTGTGTTTGTTTATGATCATGATGTCACTTCCTAAGTAGATTGAAGTAGCGCAGAATAGGAGCAAGAGTTAATTCTATCTGTCATTACGAGTCTTTATACCCACTCTAGGGACATTTGAGACTCTTAATTAAAACAATGAATATCAAGAAACATCGTTAAGATAACACAAAGGAGGTGCTGACCGAACTGACATTGCATTGGCCATGTGATATTAACTGACCAATCATTATTCGGAATTTTGCAATGTGTGCATAATTTTAATGTTTAATTATTGATAAAAGTTCAGATTAAATTGTAGAGTGTAGATCTGGTTTGCAGTGTCAGACGCTGCAAATTCGGAAAGTTACAGGTTAAAACAGATTTTCATAACCTGACATTCGGAACAGTTTGTTTACTTCTTGAACTATTCATTTGTTAAGACATTTTAAAAGTGATCTTTAACTGGTTCCCAAATGCTATTTATGCAGAATTCACAAGATGATGAATAAATGAACATGAATACAAGCAGAACTAAGTGCAACATCGATGACCAAACCCTAAATTTTATCTTCGAATGAAACATGTGTTGGGGTATGATGAAACGATTAATGAACAAGTGTATACTGTTCTAGTGACCAGATATCTTTCTAAATCTAAGATAAACTATTTAGCAACTCGAAAGTCCGGCATCCGTTTAGGTGAAATGACGTAATCGCGTCTAATCCCGGATTAGCGTCCCGGTAGATCATAAGCTAAGGTCAACCTGTACGTTTTCAGCATGTTCAATATGGATAAACTCCAAGAAATGTTTTGCTCAATTATTTCATCTGTTATTTGGCAATAAATGTAACAATTATTAATGCGGCAATTTCTGGGGTTTTAAACGGCAAAAGTGGGTCTTAGAGTAATCGGAATTATTATGTAGGGTCTATCTCTATCTACGATCATCAGATTATAGCCAAGAATATGTTTTTATTAAATAGACGGATAATTAACAAACTAATAATCATTACGGTACACACTCGTGATAATAGGTTATCCGAACCATGAAAACCTGTCAATAAAAAACTAGTTTCTGAACAATCAAACATGTTCATTTGGTCGGATAATCCCGATAATTGCCGATAATTACCGATGGGGAAGAATGGATCAATTGTCTGTTAGCTTGGAGATAATACACTCTTATGTTCTATGGGTTTGTTCATCTAGTAATTGGAATAGTATTTTACACTAATTCACTGATTGTATCTCAAAGGGTCTAGTATCTCAAGTATCGTCGTGTTTCCTCAGGGCAGAACACAAGAAGTAACTATTTAGCCATAAAATACGTCCATTTACGGCAGTTAAGAGGGTCAACACTGAAGATGACAGGCGAGTTATCTGCCTTAATTGTTGCCGTTTTCAACACTAGACGCATTGAAAAGAGAAATAAAATAGCAATATTATAGCCTGTCTTCCGAATGAATGTCCTGTGTTCGTAGTTTATGGATCTGACATTTTATTAGATTTTTAACACTTCACTATCTCTTATAGAATCGCGTCGAGTGTTCGGAGATATGTTGATATTAACACGGGTCCTTTTACGGAGCACTCACTTGTAAAAGTTCCACAAAAGAAAATATATGTTTTTATTAAGGCCAAGTGCGGTTATTATAGGCTTTTATACAGTACAGATTTCAATAGGCAAAATAGAACGAATTTATTTTTCAAGCATTTTGAATGTTAAATATGTATTAAACTTGAGTGTCTGTGTAAATGATTAAAGTAAGGCAGAATCAATATGCAAATATTGGGATAGCAGGCGAATATAATGAAGAATAAATATATAAATATCCAATAATGGTTTATTAAATTCTCGTTTTTGTACTTGAAAACCAACAACTACTTTGTATGTCAGATGATAATTACACGGAATCGTTTCAACTAAAACAAATTTTTGTAACAAATTGTACTGAAATTAAAAATTGTTTATTGTTCCAAGGTGGAATTCGAGATGAGTTAAATTGATATTTAATTAGATTATAATTTGAGAGTTCGCACTTCTGTTAAAAGCAAAATGATGAATTATAATGAATTTCACAAAATATGCCTTGCTAGTAATTAATTGTTTTTCCTGTTATTTAAAACTTAATTAAAACAATGTAATTAAATATTTAGGGCACAAAAATAACTACAATGTGACATGAATATTTGTGACATCCAAATAACTGTTGAGTGAGTTATTAACAAACGCAGGATGATTGCGCAAATAGACATCTTGAAGCAAGAGATCATTGATGGAGACAAACTTAGGGATTGAAAGCAAACATCGGGATTCAAGAGAACATCGGTGGCAGCCAGGGTACAATCAGAAAAACTTCACTTGCGCTAGTGTCAGATAATTTCCAGGTATTGCGTTTCATTTAAAACATGCCACTACAGTTTGAATTTCAGTTTTTTGTTTATTTCTAAAATGTGTTTGCTTCCCGAAAGTTTGGTTTCATTAAACGTCAAGCACTGACATCGGCCCAGACCCGATCAGATCGGAAACGCTAATTGCTTATCCCCTTTAAATAATTTAAATTTTTGAACTTGGATTTTAAAGCACGCAATGTTAATACCCCTTTCACAATAGTTATTTGTTAGTCCTAATCGTATCCACATCTAACATTCATTCGTATAATAGTCCATCTTTTATCAGCGAAATCCTGCTCAATGAATTAATATTTCAAGTTAAATGCATTCAAATCAATTCATAGAATTTCACCCAATTATTGCTGATTAATAATTCACATTTCGGAAGTTCGCTTGGTCCAGCGTTTGAGATAGTTTCTCAGAATGAAAAGTCAATGTTCTGCTGGAATATGATAATCTGTAGAGGATATGTTAAGTTGGCAAGAATTTTCTCAATTATATAACAGGTGCGGGTAAAATTAAACCAACTATAAGCTGTTTATTTATCGAACAAGCCCTGAACAACAAACTTAGTAAGACTGTAGTAGGTCCCGTTTCACCGATCCCAGAGTTTTACACACTCTAGGGAAGTTGTACCTTCTTCCCAAACACCATAAGCATATACAAGACAAATTAAATTTATGTTAAGAAATCCGTCGAAAGTTCCTATAGAAAAATTGCTTTTAGCAGAATGAAATTTCATTGAGTAAAGTTACATTAAATGGACTAAGAATTGACTGTACGATAATTTGGGTGAATTTGACGAAGTTTGAACATCAATAATTAACACATCTCTGATTCTAAATCCTTCCTTTATGAACAAAAACTTGCGATAATTAACAAGAAATGTTAATCTTAAATTATATTGTCATTCAAGACTATAGATCGACAAAAATTATACCTAACCAATCACCAATTTATCAAATATTCAAAACCAAATATTAGAAATAGAGCTAGATGAGTAGGTGAAAGAAATGGTTTACTAATATTGCTTAACGTAAATGTTCTTTAACTTTGGATCAATTTTTATTAATTATCGTGAATTCTTTATTTCCAGGTGTTTCCTAGAGATTTTCTGCCACAACCTGAGTTACAATTGTGTTTATTTGATTAATCTAATAATTTATGATTTAAATATCATTTAGATGGTACTAATATTCAATAAGTGACGGATACAATATATTCAGTTTCCATTTTTACGTTCGACAGATTAATATTGAATTTAGAAACACTCTGTACAAATGTAAATACAGACTATTTGACGTGACCATTGACCAAATCATTTAGAAATTTACAATACCTTTGCCATAAGGTTTCATAAGTTTACAACACTTGAATAATTTGCAATAAAATTAGCATTTTAACACGCATTCACATACAATTATTATTAAATTGGTGCCCCAGTTTTAGCTATTTTACTCGTGTATACCATGTCAAAGGAAAGATATAAACTTACAACGCCTTTAAATGTTAAAAATTGTTAAGACGAGTTTCTGAGATGTATATTACTAAGCCCAAAATTAACGAGAAAATTAAGAACCCAACTGATTTTCGATTGACTTTTGAAGAGCTGCCCCGACTAAGAATTAATAATATTGCTAGTATTGAAGCTGTTTGGAAAGTATGATTTGTATTTCAGTTATGAAAAAGTTCAGGATTTTGAAATCTGCTTACCTGTATGAGTTCTCTTGTGAATTTTGAGATTCTCACTCCTGGCGAACACTTTGCCACATCCGGGGAAGGGGCAGGGGAAGGGTTTCTCGCCTGTATGGACTCTAATGTGATTCACCAGTTTGTATTTAGCTTTGAAGGGTCGCCCGTCCCTTGGGCATTCCTTCCAGTAACAGGCATGATCAGTCTGTTCGGGCCCTCCAACGTGCTCAACTGTTAGATGCGTTACTATTTCATGCATCGTGGTAAATGTTTTGTTACAAGGTTTCTTAGGTTCTGGAGCATCTTTCTCAATCCATAGACATGTGTGTTCTTGTTTGATCGGATGTCTCATGTACCTGAAAAACGCACCGGGTCCCACACCTCCCATTCCAGGCCCATAACCAGTGTTCATATGGTTCATGTGACCCATAGCATTCATGTGATTTAGTCCTAAATGTTGTGACCCATAATAGTCTGTACTTCTTGAGCTGGCGATATTATTATATTGATTGTCTGGGGCAAGTCCTAGCCTCATCTGGCCGTTCATATGTTGTTGGTGATCGTGTAGACCTGGGAAGAGAGCGTGAGATGCCGCTGGGTCGGTATGGTGACCGTGCATGCTGGCATGACTCGAGGGGTAAAGACTTTCGGGGGTAGTGGCTGACGTCATATCCGGACGTCTCAGTAAGAAATCCCTAGCGCTATATCCCCCTACTCCCATAGCGGAGTAGCCACTGGAGCTGTGTGTAGAATGTGGTACGGTAGCATAGATATTCGGGTTGCTCCCCTGGTACTGGTTCATCTGTGGGGTGCTCTCGCTCATGTGATGTGGTGGGCTCAGCTTCAAGGCGCCCGGGGGCAGGTGAGTTGCCCCAGTATCCATGAATGGGTTCAACATACTCTCGGCAGGCTCGACTTTGGTATGTGCCGGGGGTGGTAAGAAAGCGTTTGTGTAGTCCCTGTATTGTGGAAGATGTGCTGAAACGTCCGCAAATCTGAAGGCTTGTTGTTTACTGAAAGCTTCACTGATGAATCCGCTTGATATTGCCGTCTCTGTCATAGTCCGGTTGTTCCCTGCGGGGGATATTTGCTTCTGGACTCTGGTTTTCTAGCTCTGGCCTCGTGGTGTGATCGCACTGGGTTGCTTTCACACTTGTTTGTAACTCACGCTTCGTCCACTCACATAAGTAGGCTAACTTTCTTCAGCTGTTCGCTGATTGGCCCACGCTTTGTGATTGACATCTAAGACGCATCAAGACAAACACTGCTTTACTTCGCGCATGCGCTCTGGCGGATATCAGTGCATGAAATGTGTTCCTAATGAATTTTTATGAATGAGTTAAAGTTTCTAATTCAAACTGAAATGTTGTAATAATCCATTAATACACAATAGTTGCCTGTTCAATTTTGACCTCAAAGCTTTATCAATCCCATCAACTTTGGATTATCGTTTAAATGAAGCGGGTCGGGATCTAATGAAAGGCCGTTTCCTCTTTCTAAATGTCCATTGTGGACACTTGAATCGTTGCTCGAGCACTTCAAATGCTTTAAGTATGCACATCTGAAAAATATTATTCCAACAATATCATGATTATACCCTCTATTTCAACGATGCTACATTTTTGTTTTTGAATTGATATAAGTTGGTATTCAACTGCCACTTTCAAACGAAAATCCATATTTTTGTGAACAAGAATATTTCTTTACACGCAAAGTAAAAAATATTGCAAAGAAGTAACAAAGAGTAATGAACATAATGCTGGGTAATTCGCAGTTTAATGTACCTTTCACTGCAAGAAAGTATATACATATGGATTATTGTATTATTTAAAACAATTTTACTCGATTAATAAACTATAATTTTATTGCCCCTTTTAAGTGGTTCTTTTGTGTCCGCAAACAATAAACAAACGAAGCAAATGAAAAAACTTGCATGCAATTTTCAAAAACTATTTCAGCAGTAAAATGTCACAACTGTTCTAGTTTTCAGTTTTAGTCTTGCAAATGTGTGGGAAAAGAATTGTGTGCTGAGAGGAGACTGTTGTATGGGGAGAGAAAATAGTGTGCTTGTGATATAATGGTGTGCTTAGAAGAGAATGTTGTGCTTTGAACGTTGGAAAGATATAGCATGAAGGGGATGATGATATTTTTATCTAAATTGCTTTGAAAGGAATGCTAGTGTCATATAAATTTAGGATACCATGGTTGAATATTTGACCATCGTAAACGGAGAGGGTACTAATAGCGTATAAAGGATCAAATTATATTAAATCTCCTTTTCTCTAAGTATACTAGTCACTGATTGAAATCTAATCCGAATCTAATATGAAAGTTATTTATTATATTATTGAATACAGGCTGAATTATGATGCATTTTGAGTGAAGTTAATATGGGATTTACTCAATGTCTTTGATACGATTATGAATTGTTATTCCGTCTAAGTGGCTTAGTCGAGGGGGAAAAATAACAAAAAATGTCAAATCACGTAATGTAAAGATATTTTAGTGCAGTCCACATCAAGATAATGATAAAAATGAGGAATGTTAAAAATGAGGAATGTGTATCGTTACTCGTTCAATTCTATGTGTTGACACTTAGCATGTTGAATATTATGCATTCATTTTGCCTTCCTAAATATTGTCATTTGGTATATTTACTAAAGCCCATCCTCTCTTTTAGGCTACACAAATGGGAATACAATGAAATATGAACTTAAAATTAGAAACAACTAATAGATTAACAATTGGTGTAATAGAAAGTATTCCAACATTATAAATTAAATCAATTAAACATTGACTGCCGTATAACTATTGTATCAAAATACCTGATAAACATGTACTTTAACAATGAAGTTTAAGTGTTAAAGACAGTACCGGAAAGATGTTTGCAATATTTTTATCATTGTGACAGAAATATCTACTAAACAATAGTAGATCAAGAAGGAAGTGTATTTTGGTATGGCACTTGCTAAACATTGAATAGTTTTGAGTGATTGATTGATTTGTTGATTCTTTATTGACTCTTAATTTTGAGTTTTGTCTTCTTATTTTAGTAAAGTAGTAGATTGTAATGGTTCGAATATATAAATACATTTGCACTAAGTCATCTCGGGTATTATAAAAAAAATTAAATAATATTATTTCTCCAAACTTGGCTTTGATTTAATTGAACCTGAAATGTAGATGACATTGGTCTGGCACGAGTAGGATGTTGAGCGGATAACAAAAAATCAAATAAAAACACACGATTGCTTTTTTAAGAATGAGATTTATTCAATGATTTTATTTGTAAAACTCTCCGTGAGTTTGCCCCTTAACATCTTACATTTATGTTCTATTTGTTCACATGCAGTTGTATATAATTTTCCAATGAATGTCAGTGTGATTTTTCTCTTGAATTGTTTATGGAACGTCGTGTTTGGCCAAGAAGAATCTAGTCCCATGGTGAGTAGCAGGGCAGTTAGTACAAAGCACGATAGGGGGCGCAGTAGGAGGTTTTGTACCAGTTTACACTTTAAGTATACTACATGTAGTAGTAAAAAAATGCGATTATAATTTCGTTTAAAAATAGTTTTCAAGTTGGTGAATTGAAGTGAGCACTTCATGTACTTGCACATAGAGTGAGTTGTTTCGAATATTTAGTACAGCTATTTTGTATGTTGCAATATTAAATTGCATGACTTTAATTATCAACGATCTGCTTACACAGTTTCGAGATTTTTATTATAATTTAAATATTTAGTCCAACTTCACTCATAGCCCTGGACCATATCGACTGACAATTGTCTCAACAGTGATAATCAAGAAACCTAGCTGCGATCACAAAAAGGCAATGCTCTTGATGTCGCATCAATGAAACTATAATATTTCTTTTGTCAACTTGAAAGATTATCATATGGAACTTTGTAAATGGCTGTACATTTAAGAGTAATGGCTTTATATCATCTTGTTTTGTCTTTATTGCTTTAAACAATTGTTCCCTCCTCTAAACACAATGAAAGGACAGCACAGACCAACAATATAAATATCACCAGCATTTGATGGATACAAAAATTAAAGAAACATTTTTGATTAAAACTGGGCAATGTTGCACAATGTTAAAAAACAAAGCTGTTATAATGGAGTGTAATTAACGCATTATCTCGCTCTATGCTCCTTTAGGTGTTGTATGTACCATAAATCTTTTAATGAATTTTAATGAGTGATTTTCTCCCTACCAGTAATTAGTGAGGGACGCACCGGTAATTACAACAGGCTCTAGGGAAAGAAAAGAACTTCTAAAGGAATACTTCTTGTTTCTATCCATCCATAGAGCCGTGAAAATGTAACTTTCTTACAGTATGTAACCTTATAAATATTAAAAGAATTCTTTGTTAATTTCCTGAGTAAATATTGCACCAATGTTAGTTACTAATGTTGCAGTTGCAAAAAAAAGATTTGACTAAGATTCAAATCTCCTCATTCCCAGCCCCTCTTGACAAAATGTAATAAGCACTGCAAAGCACAAAAGTACATACAAATCAGTTTTGATGGATCAAAACGAGGCGATGCTAGATAAACGTCCATTTTCTTAGTGACAGAAGTAAACAAATACTACACTATTTCTGTCAATTAAATTCTAATTAAAATCAGCTTTATTTGACAGTTCTAGCTATTCTGGTTTGGGGTTTCTCTGGACCTACTGAGAGAACATAAATTTTGACAAAATTGTTTCCGTTGTGAAAAAAATTCTCTCTTTTTGTCACCATAACGACCACATCCTTATCGGGTTTCATAAAGATTTACTAAAAGTGTTGACCTTGTCTTAAAACCACAATTTTACTGCAATTTGGCATTTGATGAAAGAAAAGTGTCCAATATGTTGAAGGTATTGGCGTTCATTAGACAAGACGGTGGAAAGGAGCAAATATGTCACCCTGCATCGTATGCAACAATATGAGGAAATGCACACCGCTTATAGAACATCAACTTTTTACATTCATTTGCAGATATCATATTCATCAAAAATGTATAGCCTGCTAACCACTAAAAGCGTCTTAAAATGAAAAAATAAATAAATTGTTCTTGTCAAAAATGTTACATCAAGACATTATCCACTTGTGTGTTGATTCTGTTTTTTGGGTATATAAACAATCTGATAAACAGGGGCACCTGCTCTGGCATTTCATCTTGGATGGAGGGTACCCGAACCCAGTGAATCTGAGCACCTGTGTTGCCACTCAGTGTCTGGCAGTGCCACGGTTTCACGTGTAATACATGTAGATTGTGATACATTGTGATGGATGATCTCTTAGCAAGTGAAGTGTCACTCTTAGTGTTACACTTTCCACATACAATCGCTAGAAATGTGTGTGGTGCATTCTCCAAACGCACGGTTCAAGACAGTTACACCCTCTGCACCAAGATCATAGAAAGAGAGGTCGTTTGAGAGAGGTGTGACTGTTACATCATTCACACACAGGGACTAGAAAGTAGAAAGGTGTGATGTGACTAATCTTATGTAATGTAAAGAATTAAAGTGACATATTTTTCACCGCTTTGTAATATTAAAAAGCTGTTCAAAGAGCCTAATGTAACAAAGCATACCAGTTGGTCAACCATTACAAATAAAAAATATATAACTTAAGATTATGATTCAGTTAAAGCTTTACGTAATATAAAAGCAATATTTAATGGATTGTAGAGGTTGAACTTTGGTATTTTGTAATTTTTTCACTCCCACCTACACAACCAAGGGAACATCGTAATACGGGCTGTATCCATCGAGATTTTGATTGACGATTGATTTTTTGCCCTTTTTAGTGTGAGATCATAAACGAACTCTCGCATTACTTATCTTGTAATGATTCACAAGCAGATTCAACCAAACATAACGTGTAAGTTAGTTTTAATTAAACACGAAGTTTTAAGGCAAACGGAAGTTTCCTAAATACCCATAATCATCTACCCTACCAGGGTGCCCGTCTCAAATAAATCAACTTGGAAAACGTGAAGCTCATCATCTATTACAAGTAGCATATTTCATTTGTAATTACAACATTTTCAGTTTTATGAATGGATCTGTCAAAGCTCCCCGATCCAGTGGAGCTTTTTATGAAGTCCACATGGGCCAGGGTAGAGGTGGAGAGATACTGGGGCATAGCTGTGGGAACATGGTATGATATACTGAGTGTGAATAAACTGAGAATCATAAACCCAATGTAGTCCATAAGAAAGCAGCACCAAAACAATGATATATTTGCATATGTTCTCAGGAAAACAAACTTCTCTCATTGTACCGACCTAGAAATGCAATTTTTAAGCTTTTTAGAAATCAAAAATACAATAAATATATCTTGCTTTCATTTCAATATCTATTGCCTTCATTTTTCATAAATTTCCAAATAGCGCAATTTGGGTAAATAAAAGGGGAGGGCCGAAATACGTATGATATTCATGCGACGTCAATGTTTGAAGATGTTTATGTCGTATCTTCTACATGAGACACTAATTTTAATCCACTTTCGAATATCTTAATATGTCAAAACATTGGAGCAAACAGATCTGTCAGTGACTTACATA